CTTTGGTGGCTTTAAGTTATCCATCATTATCTCATTGATCTGCACTATTTAATTATTAATGATAATACATACCGACTGCGCCATGTGGTGTTTTTTAAATATTAAATAACAATACTAAAAAACTAATTAACATAATTATTTATTTAATTAAATCAAAACACACATATTTTAGTTTCGTCCAAAATGAGATAAGTAAACTTATCCCTCTTCACACTTTTGTGAAAAATAAGTCAAGTTGACTAGTATCTTATTACACATAGTTTAGTTTTGTCCAAAATGAGATAAGTACACTTATCCCTCTTCATAATTGTTTATATTTACCTAATATGATACCTATCTAAAATAAATAATTTTAATATTGTAACGTGCTACTCCGCGTTACTCGTAGAAATGGAAGTAATAATTGAACAAAACCTCTTTGATGGTATTTATTGTATTTATTTATGTAAACAGTTTTATGGAAAATATTCTAAGTACAAATAATTATGTTTATTGACTTAAGAGGACGCCACACCCGCAAGTGTTGTCTCCGTCTTACAAATGTACAACATAGCAAAAACTCTTTTGCGAGGGACAACTTTTCTCGCACCATATTTGTTGTAGAACTACCAAATTTTCACAGAACTTAAAGAAGAACTTTATCTGTGCAACAGAGTGCTCTTTTTTTCAATAACATATATACAATACAAGTTATTTGCTTCTAAACATTTGGTTTTTTAATTTGCTTATAAAAAATGATTGGATGGTGCTATTGAAAAAAAGAGCACTCTGTTGCACAGATAAAGTTCTTCTTTAAGTAGTACTTCTTTAAGTAGTACTTTTTTAAGTACTTTGAAATAGGAGCACACAAAGCTGTGAGCCGTGAGGGAAGTTTTTCCGAATGTACAACTTATTAGATGTCGTTTCCATTTAAGTCAATCTTGGTGGCGTTACGTAAATATTTAATAAATAACCAACTCACATCGGTTCATAGTAACAATTTTCATATAGATAAATGCAAATAAAAAATTGAGGACCGCATACTCATATATAACCTACGTATAAGGTTAAAGGTTTAAGGTTTAAGGTATAACCTCGCATAACCTACATATAAGGTTTTTTATTTTTAAATACTTGGCATGAATATATTAATTTATATTATACAAAGGTTTCTCTACAAAATTCATTGCAACCGTTAGTAAATAGGGTACCGTGAATAATACTCATTATTACAAAATTAATTAGATTTAAAAAACGGTTGTAGAGTTGTTTAAGTCTAATTTTGATTGCAATAATTATTGTCACATACATTTTTGTAGAATAAAAAAATTGTTTCTTCCTTTTTAAAGTTATGAATATAAAGTTATTGAGTAATTTATTTTTAAGAATTTGAATAATAGATGGCCAAATGTGTGAATCATGAAATAAATTTGTGTATACATATACAGATTTTTAATTCGGAAATAGATAAAAAGAAATATATATTTTGGGGTTTTTTTTTTGCGACACATTGTTTGGGAAAATAACAATTAAAGCCCTATTCTTTAAATTAATTTGCATCTAAGATAATATATTTTTTTAGAAAATCGTAACTTTACAACCGGGTATAAAAATGTTAGCAAATAGCAATTTTAATCAAAATATTAAATAAATTGTATCCAAAATGGTTTTATGTATTCAATAATTTATGTTAACAAATGGCAGAGAATGTCAAGGCACTACTTCTTTCCTCTCTGGACAACTCATAAAATAATTTTAGAGTCTGAATGAGCAATGAATGTATTGATTTTACAATGTTGATAACTCAAATAATAATTAAATATAAGACCGATGTCATACCCAGAACAATATTATCCATTATCATTTTTAAATAGGTGATTTTATTCTATGATAATTGATAATTAAACAACTTTAAAAGAAAAATACAATTTTACATAAATTTGTTTATTTGATGTCTGTAGACTTGTGAAAAAATAAACATTGCAATGACATCCTCTTAAATGTATATATTTACTGCTTACTAAATTACTATGTAATACAAATATTATACAAAGGTTTCTCTACAAAATTCATTGCAACCGTTAGTAAATAGGGTACCGTGAATAATACTCATTATTACAAAATTAATTAGATTTAAAAAACGGTTGTAGAGTTGTTTAAGTCTAATTTTGATTGCAATAATTATTGTCACATACATTTTTGTAGAATAAAAAAATTGTTTCTTCCTTTTTAAAGTTATGAATATAAAGTTATTGAGTAATTTATTTTTAAGAATTTGAATAATAGATGGCCAAATGTGTGAATCATGAAATAAATTTGTGTATACATATACAGATTTTTAATTCGGAAATAGATAAAAAGAAATATATATTTTGGGGTTTTTTTTTTGCGACACATTGTTTGGGAAAATAACAATTAAAGCCCTATTCTTTAAATTAATTTGCATCTAAGATAATATATTTTTTTAGAAAATCGTAACTTTACAACCGGGTATAAAAATGTTAGCAAATAGCAATTTTAATCAAAATATTAAATAAATTGTATCCAAAATGGTTTTATGTATTCAATAATTTATGTTAACAAATGGCAGAGAATGTCAAGGCACTACTTCTTTCCTCTCTGGACAACTCATAAAATAATTTTAGAGTCTGAATGAGCAATGAATGTATTGATTTTACAATGTTGATAACTCAAATAATAATTAAATATAAGACCGATGTCATACCCAGAACAATATTATCCATTATCATTTTTAAATAGGTGATTTTATTCTATGATAATTGATAATTAAACAACTTTAAAAGAAAAATACAATTTTACATAAATTTGTTTATTTGATGTCTGTAGACTTGTGAAAAAATAAACATTGCAATGACATCCTCTTAAATGTATATATTTACTGCTTACTAAATTACTATGTAATACAAATATTATACAAAGGTTTCTCTACAAAATTCATTGCAACCGTTAGTAAATAGGGTACCGTGAATAATACTCATTATTACAAAATTAATTAGATTTAAGAAACGGTTGTAGAGTTGTTTAAGTCTAATTTTGATTGCAATAATTATTGTCACATACATTTTTGTAGAATAAAAAAATTGTTTCTTCCTTTTTAAAGTTATGAATATAAAGTTATTGAGTAATTTATTTTTAAGAATTTGAATAATAGATGGCCAAATGTGTGAATCATGAAATAAATTTGTGTATACATATACAGATTTTTAATTCGGAAATAGATAAAAAGAAATATATATTTTGGGGTTTTTTTTTGCGACACATTGTTTGGGAAAATAACAATTAAAGCCCTATTCTTTAAATTAATTTGCATCTAAGATAATATATTTTTTTAGAAAATCGTAACTTTACAACCGGGTATAAAAATGTTAGCAACCAGCAATTTTAATCAAAATATTAAATAAATTGTATCCAAAATGGTTTTATGTATTCAATAATTTATGTTAACAAATGGCAGAGAATGTCAAGGCACTACTTCTTTCCTCTCTGGACAACTCATAAAATAATTTTAGAGTCTGAATGAGCAATGAATGTATTGATTTTACAATGTTGATAACTCAAATAATAATTAAATATAAGACCGATGTCATACCCAGAACAATATTATCCATTATCATTTTTAAATAGGTGATTTTATTCTATGATAATTGATAATTAAACAACTTTAAAAGAAAAATACAATTTTACATAAATTTGTTTATTTGATGTCTGTAGACTTGTGAAAAAATAAACATTGCAATGACATCCTCTTAAATGTATATATTTACTGCTTACTAAATTACTATGTTTGGATTTTCATTAAGTATTATTTATTTTTATTGATTAATATATAAAATATGATCACATCAATAGACATTAGGTATATTAACTAATAAAAGATATCATTAAAAAGTTAAATATTATGTAAAAGCCAAAAATACCATAAAAGTATAATTACACACAGATTTAAAAATTGTATATTAAACTTAGAGATGCGTGTATTATGAAACAAGTTTGATTTTAACATATATACTATTTATATATTTATTTATTCATTTATATAAGGGGCATAAGGCCCAATACCCAAAGGTTAAAATTATATTTTACATATAATTAAGGAATACAATCTATGACCACAGAAAGTAATTAAAATTAACAGTTTATATAAATTAAAGAATACAACATTTTGAATACATAATGTAATTAAAAATTAACAAAACAAATTTTATATCACTTATCCTACAACAATTTGATATACCCTATTAGATATTCAATTATTTTTGGTATTCAAATTCTAGCTGATATTATGAAGTTAACATTTTATCTTAATAATTAAATCTTATTTATATATGTATGTAATAACATGAGATTGTGCTAAAAACAATTAAATAATATCATGTACTGGATATTTTCATTTTATTTTCAACTTATTTGTAATTAAAAAAATATTTAGAGAACAAAAATTATATATTTATTTATGTGTTATATTCCATGTTATTATTTTTTATTCTAAAATCGCAGACAAATTTTGTTAATTATAATTATAGAAATGCTGCCTTGGAAGGAATAACATTTTTGTAACAAATTCATTGTATGAAATATGAATGCATAATTTAAATTAAATAAATATTAATTATATCTACAATATTATATTACATAAATTATAAATTAATTAAAGTGTATTCAAGATTTTAAATATAAATAGGCAAAATAAATGGAAACTAATTATTGTCGTTCGAAAAAATTAGATACACATTATTCATTCAGTTTGTATGCCAATCTACTGCCCGGAAATTATCAATTTCTTTGCAAAATCTACTTTGCTTCTCGCAGATCTCTGAAGGGAAGTTTTTAAACCATGTCATCAACAATGCAAGCTGATTTTTATTTGAGAATACAAGACCATTTTCATTGTGTCGAACGAATTAATTTAAGCTGAAACAAATAAATGTTTCTTAAAATCTTAAAGAAATGTATTAAATAAATTACAGGAGAACTAGAATTCTGTATCTATTAAATAATTATTACCATTTGAAATCAAATGCACAGACAGGTAAGCAAACACCGTACATATCGATCATTTTCATGGGCAAGTCTAATCCACTTGAGGAGACATGTAAGCACACACCAAGATCAGCACACGCTGAAAATATTCAATAAATATATCATAAAAAAATAATTTATCCTATTTAATTAATCTTGTAATTTTACTTAAAAGAAGTGGATAGTAATTATTTTCAAGCCAAGGTGTAATGATGGAAACTTTTTTCCACTTCAATTTTAAAATCTTATGTTGATAGTGATACTTTAATAGGCCTCGCCCAGTGATAACACAAATGAGTTTTGGGTAGATATCTTCACTTTCATCGTATTCTGAAACAATAAATGAACATTATATTTTGGTGACCAAGTTATCTCTTAAAATAAATAGAGATATAAACATACACATAACAAAATATTCTTCAACAATTATCCAGACTCACTTCCATAGTACAAAATAAAGTTAAGAATAACAAATACATTTAAAAATAGTGATTCATTCAATTGATTATAATAAATCAGTAATATATGTAGGTAATTGTGTGTATACTTTGTAGAGCTTTCAATAGAATCGAAAAATCTTCATCTGGGGTCCAGCTAGTACTGCACACAAGTAGACTAGGCCGGTCAGGTTTTAATTGCACCTCTCTAGATTCTGATAGCTTAGTGAAATCATTTAAATTCATTTTTTCTAGTAACTTATGTTTTTCAGATAATGAGATTGTTTTAAACTATGGTACCCGGCGATCATACAGGGTCATAGCTCTAAAATAGGTACACAACATAGATATTTTGTTAACAATTTAAAAAAAAATTTTATGACAGATAAAAAACTTACTTGAAGTTCCATTTTGTATGTAGGTCTCCTTTCATTGCTTTGGTAACACATAGATTGCAATCAGCCAGTCTGCCAAAAGTACGTTCATAGAATAAGGATAGTTTTACCAGAGGTGCATTGGATTTCAAAGTCAGGGCAAGTATTGCGTATGCATAATTATGCCAGTCGATTATAAATTTTGTAATGACGAGTAGACAGTAAAACCGACAAACAGCAAGTGTAGGAATTGCAGATGGATTTGCGTTTCACCAATATGGCCCAAAACAATGTCAGTGTTTGCCATATAACTTTGAACAGGAATGCTATCGTCCTTGGAACATCTGTGGAATAAAAACAGAACATTAGTCGCTTCGCCAATCAAACGCGACTCACGCCAAAATAAGTTACTGCGGTCTATGAACACGCGAGAGGTGAGGTGGTATTCGACGAGACGTGGTCAAGTTCAATCAATTGTTCGCAAAACAAGTTAACAACCGATCGCCTATCGAAAATCAGAATATTTATTTATTTATTCCAGTATGGCGGTGAGCACCAAACGACATCGATTAAATTTTAGACGTAGATACTCACATTCGTCGAACGGAAACCGTTTCGGGACACCTCATGCCCGACGATGTCGACGTCGAAACCTCGGCGGATCAAAGACTGCGCATGATACTGCATTCTTGGGCTGCATCCTATGTCGCCCAAGACCACCACGCTCTTCTTTCCCATTTTCGCTGTATACGGTGGAACCGTAAGCGGTTACGACAGAGTTGCATGTCCATTGTCCAAGCACGGTGAGTCGGTGAACACGACGGATAGGTAATCGACGCCGAAGGATTTCGACGCACCGGAAGTTAGAACGAATCCCACGTCGTTTTGTACTCAGTGGCCAGGACTTGGGTATCTTGCGGATTGCAACTATCAAATTGAATGGTACATAGAGTAATCATTGGATAAATTAAGTTAAAGTCAACAAGTTGTTTTATATATCTACTACGGTTAAAGTACCTACTTACAACTTAGGTACGTCAAAACATATCAGACGTTATTGTTATTGGAGTAATGGACAATGGTTCGAACTTCAGTAATCAGTTATCACCATAGATCTAATACTTATCACTTATCACTCATCGTTTCGCGTCCACGGATCACGAAAACGATAAGTAACGATGACGATAACGATGTTGTGCACTCTCTCAGTGATACGTTTCGCTTTCGAGTTTCGGTGTACCGTCCTCTTATCGTTGGTTTTAAACTACCTACGTAGATCATAACAGTATTCACATTACACATTTCAGTATTTCACAATTCACTATTAATTTCAAATTTTCAAATTTCTCCTTATTGTACCTACTCTCTTGTAGACTTTTCAATAATTATTGTTATTTCCTGTTAATTGTTATTCATATAATAATAATAATAATAACCCATAAATCATAATTCACTACATACTCTTTTGTACAAAAGTGGTTTGAAATATTTATTATTGTTTTTGTGATTTAACCCAACTTATCTAGTATGCCTCTAAAGTGTTTTGTGCATGGGTGTAATTCAGGTTCAATAAAACAAAATAAAATATATCATTAGCAGGCGATGAAAATGAAATGGCCTTTGGTATTTCATCCTCCCGAGGTACAATATTCGCTATACAAATAATTATTACACTATTATACTATTTACTTTTAGGTATAGGTACTATTTTATTCATTTGAGTAGCTTTAATATTGTTTGATTCATTTTCATACAATATATATAACCAGTGGTGGACTGAAATTAAATTTTAAATGACGCAATTTCATATTTAAGTATTTACCACGACCCCACAATATACTTTAATCTACATTATTTACTTATAACAAAGTTATCGTGTAGAAGAATAGCGCCGAAAGAGGTGGGGTCAAGCATATAGACCTTAGCATAGACTTTGGCGCAACTACCTCCACCCCTTTGAAAATTAGACTCAGCAGCATCAAAATGTGGCCCCCAAATTTCTGCGCGCCACTGTATAACAAAAGCTGAAAGGTGTTTATTAATATTTATTTTTTTTTTTTTTTAAATAGCAGCGTACATGTATCAATACTTGGTGATCAGACATACTTTTTTTTATTGCAGTCCAAAAAATATTTTAGTACCATAACCACTACATCATGTTTTTCCACCAAAATATGAATAAACCACTACAACAACTCTAGATTATTCATTTATGACTTAAACATTATATAAATAACATATTTTTTATGAAATAGGAGTAAAATGTATTAGGTATGTAATATAAACTATTTTTTTAAATTATCAAAATAAATTTATGATATTAATAATAATAATAATTTATTTATTGGCCATAGTATGATCACAGTACAGTAGTTATAATAAAAGAATATCGAGTATAATGGCCCAACACACCACTGAGGAAAAAACCTCTTATTGGTGAAATTGGAGTAGGTACTAATAAAAAACCTAAGTAATTAAAGTAGTATAAACATTAAAATTAAAAGTGGAAACATTAAAAGACAAAAATATAATAAACATTACAAATTAAAAATTAAAAATGGAAACATTAAAAGACAAAATAAGAATAATAAAAATAAAATAAAAAAAAGTAAAATTAATTAATCGTTTGCTATATAATATAATATATTAAATTTTATCAGGTTCACATCATATTAAAACTTATTATGTGAAACTAGAGGTCATCAATGTGAACATTAAAACACAAAAAAATAAACCTATTTATTATTTATCTATATTTAATGAAAAATTCATATTAGGTTAATAATTCATTACTTTTTTTCTTTTTAGAAAATGGTTGATACTTCAATCCTTGGATTAGAATTCAAAAATTTCACGAGCTGATACATTTTTAACAAAAATAAATGGAGTTGCATTTTGTTTCTGAAGATATCATTTAATTTAGAATTCAGCAGGAAATGAACAATATAAGCTTAATAAGGTTATTTTAAACCCAAATGTATTGAATTTTCCCTAAATTACCTTCTTCTTTCAACAAAAGTATAAAAACTGAAGACTTACAACAGAAAAGTCAATAAGTCCAAACAATTTTAAGAAGAATAAATCCAGTTCCATAAATGTAAGGCATCATACAATAACATATTCCTTTATTAATTTAAATAATATTTATTACATTTTTACAGACTGAATGAAACAATTGTTAACCACGTCTGGAATAATAAAAAATTAAAATATTGAACCATTTAGATACAATTCAAATAATATTAAACTACCAGGTTCAATGTGGGTTACCAATTTTTACTCATGATATCAGAGGAATTTCCAATGATAAATGTATCATGTTAATAGCCCCCAGCATAGCTAAGGTAAGTATTTTATAATTAAATGAGTAAATTCATCACATTCAATATTTATTTATGGTCATCAGTTTAATGATATAGAGAGATATTAAAGAGAAAGAAACTATAATTGAAAAATATATTGAAAAACATGATTATAATGAAAACTTATTGAGTAAAATTGATTTGTTGAACATATGTCCATTTAATAATTTGACCAAGCCAATGGTCTTCAAATTGTATGTTATAAGTGGAAGGTAAATGTGTTAGGTGTAAAAACTGTCAAAATCTTAGTAAATACTTTAAAAAAAAACAACTAAAAAAATTAAATGTTGGTATACGCAAGCACACCAAACAAGAAAACTTTCTAAAAATGTTTTAACTAGAATTATTTCAAAATTAGTAGGTTATTTAGTTTTTGATAGTTCATATAACAGGTACCCATATTTGTGCGCACATAACAAGCTTTCCAGACTCAACCAGAAATTAAATCTTACACATGCCTATGGGCTATGGTTATAAAGTGTCCTGACAGGATTGTCAAATTTGAACATAGGAAATATTTAGTTGAATACAATGATTATAATCACATAAAATTATGTTACAAATTAACTAAAGATCATGTTTTGTATCCACACATTTTCAAAAATGTAATGTTAAAATGGGTGTGGTTTTAAAATGAAATAATACTTAAATAAATATATTATATTAATTAGTTCTTTAGTAGAATATTAGCTGACTGTGTGCAAGAACCGAGGATATGATATATTTAGAGACTGTGGTTCAACTATTAGGTGTATTCGGAAAATATATGATTTAATGATAGTATGAATTCTAACGCTAAAAAATATAGCTTGCAAGCAGGCCCTGATTTATGCATGTGCAGGCGGTGCACTAGCACAGGGCCCCTAAATTTGAAGGGCCCCTTCGGCCTTCCTATTCTATACTTTGCTACCATAAATAAAAGATATTTTTAATAAGATTTAGTAAGTAGTAACTATAACCTATTTAAGGAGGCCGCTTGGACATTATATTACAAATATATTTATCAATGCCGTGCACGAATTGTAGTAGTGAACGTTCATTCTCTGTACTCAAACGTATAAAAAAATCGAATGCACTCTACTTTAACACAAGAAAAACTGGACTCTTTATCATTACTGGCAATCAACCATGATGTTACTAAACAGTTAACATTTGAAGACATAATTGCTGAATTTGCAAAAAAAAAACAAGAAAAAAATGTCTATTATAATTAAATAAATTAATTGAACTTTTTATTGTTAAATATGTAGGTACCTATTATTATTTTTTACATTTTTTGTTAAAAAAGGCCCCCAAAGTTTATAGTGCACAGGGCCCCTATTTCACTAGATCAGAGCCTGCTTGCAAGCAGACATGTGTTAGTACAGCAATAAAGAAAAAAAATACATTATTGACATTACTTATTTGTATTTTATTTAGTATTTGCTAGTTTTTTTATTATAATTATTATTATACACAATAAATGTCGTGTTAAAGAAATTATATTAATTACCTATTTACTATTTTTGTT